ATATATATATATATAGATTTCTGGTATTAATCACCTCGGTTACAAGTTAACCGACTTCCTGTACTGAAAAGCCGACATCTAATTTCTTCAATTAAGAATAAGTTTTTTGCTTTCCTACAACAAGAACCCACACGAAAATAGTTGTTAAATTCCGCGTATCAAGTTATCAACACTTCATTCTGGTTATTATATTAGTAAAATGTTGTGGTTGATGCATATAACATTAGTTGTGCAAGTGGACTTATTGGATTTGTCGGTCCTTAACCATACTGGTACTTCTACAAAATAAAATCAAATAGTTGCGAAAATTACACTGTTCACTTATAAATTTATTTTTATTTGCATATTTAAAAGTTTTTTTTTTAATTACAAATATATTAGCTTTTTGTTGTTAATAAATGATTGATTTGTGCTTTATTTTTTGTGTTATTTGTTTCTATATTGCAATGCTTTTCCACATGGGTGTTTGTTGGTGTTTTATTTTGTGAGTTGTGTTTTGTTTTCTCCTCTTTTAGAGGAGCGTGTATTTATGTGTTTTACTGAATGAATTTACCGCTTAAAAAAAAAACTCGAAAATAGAAGAAGCTTATCATAATAATGATAACATAATAAGATTATTAGAAATCCTAGATCAACCAAAAGATTAGTATGTTAGAGCAAATGGAATATTGAGGTGACAGATACTCAACATTGCTAGCTTTCAGATGCCCAAAGAACATCAAGAGCCACAAAAGATGACACCATATCCCCTTTACACGGCGCCAATTAAACAAGACTTTCAGCAATGAAACCATCATCATACTAAATGCAGACTATGAAGCTGCCTACATACAAACCAAAAAAATGATACAAGATTTGCGTTTGCACCTATAAGCCCATTTCGTGCATTCAGCTATCCAAAGACACGTGACCCCATTCCGCGGGCAAAGATGATTTGAATATCTGAAGGAGCGCATGCTTTTTGGCACGATCAAGGGTTTTTACACTGTATCCTCTGTGAACACCGAGTTTCAAAGCTCGTTGCCCCTCTTTGGCCGCTTTACTTCTCAAGGCAGTGAGTGAACTTGCCCACTTGGGATCCGTCTCTGCAGTTTCGTTCTTCTTGCCTTGAGCCGCATCCCCATCAGTTGATGCCAAGTCAGCAGAATTAGTATTATTCTCCAAGTCCTTATTAGGTTGTTGCGCACTTTTATCAGTAGCATCTTTACTGCTGCCTTTTTCGCTATCAACAGCATTTTCATCAGCACTCTTGTTTCCCCACCATTTGTATGAGATGCTTGATAAGCCATCTGATGGGAACCCGTATTTGAATTCATCCAAGAGGGGAGGGTTTGCATTGTTCACTGCAGGGCTATTCATATGGGAACTTCCAGAACGGTTATTGATGGTTGGCGGTGGTGTGAGTGATCGTAAAGTTGGACTTCCCTGTAAAGAGCCAGTAGTTGAGCTCCGAACTTGAGGGCCTCTATACAAGCAAACACCCATGAACATGTAAAGGAGATGTTAGATAAAGTGACGAAATTTCAGGCACAAAACTTACAGTCAGGGATTTTCACGTAAAAAATCTATTGGGGAGGAAAGCTATCTATTGGCATGGAAAAGGAAGAGTTTAAGGAGTTAATTTTCTTGAAAAGAGAACTAGACCGAGCTAAATGTCAAAAAAAAAAAAAA